CCGCCACACACTCCTCCACACACTCCGCCACACACTCCTCCACACACTCCACCACTCACTCCTCCACACACTCCACCACTCACTCATCCACACACTCCACCACTCACTCCTACACTCACTCACTCCTCCACTCACTCCACCACTCACTCCTCCACACACTCCGCCACACACTCCTCCACACACTCCACCACTCACTCCTCCACACACTCCACCACTCACTCCTCCACACACTCCAACACTCACTCCTCCACTCACTCACTCCTCCACTCACTCCTCCACTCACTCCTCCAGTCACTCCTCCACACACTCCACCACTCACTCCTCCACACACTCCTCCACACACTCCACCACTCACTCCTCCACTCACTCCTCCACTCACTCCTCCAGTCACTCCTCCACACACTCCACCACTCACTCCTCCACACACTCCTCCACACACTCCACCACTCACTTATCCACTCACTCCTCCACTCACTCCTCCACTCACTCCTCCACACACTCCTCCACACACTCCACCACTCACTCCTCCACTCACTCCTCCACACACTCCACCACTCACTCCACCACTCACTCCTCCACTCACTCCTCCACTCACTCCTCCACTCACTCACTCCTCCACTCACTCCACCACTCACTCATCCACTCAATCCACCACTCACTCCACCACTCACTCCTCCACTCACTCCACCACTCACTCCACCACTCACTCCTCCACTCACTCCTCCACTCACTCCTCCACTGACTCACTCCTCCACTCACTCCACCACTCACTGATCCACTCAATCCACCACTCACTCCACCACTCACTCCTCCACTCACTCCACAACTCACTCCTCCACTCACTCCTCCACTCACTCCTCCACACACTCCTCCACACACTCCACCACTCACTACACCACTCACTCCTCCACTCACTCCACCACTCACTACTTCACTCACTCCTCCACTCACTCACTCCTCCACTCACTCCACCACTCACTCATCCACCACTCACTCCACCACTCACTCCTCCACTCACTCCTCCACTCACTCTTCCACTCACTCCCCCACTCACTCACTCTTCCACTCATCCACCACTCACTCCTCCACACACTCCTCCACTCACTCCTCCACTCACTCCTCCACTCACTCACTCCACCACTCACTCCACCACTCACTCCTCCACTCACTCCTCCACTCACTCCACCACTCACTCCACCACTCACTCACTCCACCACTCACTCCTCCAGTCACTCCACCACTCACTCCACCACTCACTCCACCACTCACTCCACCACTCACTCCTCCACTTACTCCTCCACTCACTCCTCCACTCACTCCTCCACTCACTCCACCACTCACTCCACCACTCACTCATCCACTCACTCCACCACTCACTCCACCACTCCTCCACTCACTCCACCACTCACTCCTCCACTCACTCCTCCACTCACTCCTCCACACACTCCTCCACTCACTCCTCCACTCACTCCTCCACTCACTCCTCCACACACTCCTCCACACACTCCTCCACACACTCCTCCACACACTCCTCCACACACTCCACCACTCACTCCTCCACACACTCCACCACTCACTCCTCCACTCACTCACTCCTCCACTCACTCCTCCACTCACTCCTCCACACACTCCACCACTCACTCCTCCACTCACTCCTCCACACACTCCTCCACACACTCCACCACTCACTCCTCCACTCACTCCTCCACTCACTCCACCACTCACTTATCCACTCACTCCTCCACTCACTCCTCCACACACTCCTCCACACACTCCACCACTCACTCCTCCACACACTCCTCCACACACTCCACCACTCACTCCACCACTCACTCCTCCACTCACTCCTCCACTCACTCTTCCACTCACTCCACTCATTCACTCCTCCACTCACTCCACCACTCACTCATCCACTCAATCCACCACTCACTCCACCACTCACTCCTCCACTCACTCCACCACTCACTCCACCACTCACTCCTCCACTCACTCCTCCACTCACTCACTCCTCCACTCACTCCACCACTCACTCATCCACTCAATCCACCACTCACTTCACCACTCACTCCTCCACTCACTCCACCACTCACTCCTCCACTCACTCCTCCACTCACTCCTCCACACACTCCTCCACACACTCCACCACTCACTACACCACTCACTCCTCCACTCACTCCTCCACTCACTCCGCCACTCACTCCTCCACTCACTCACTCCTCCACTCACTCCTCCACTCACTCACTCACTCACTCCACCACTCACTCCTCCACTCACTCCTCCACTCACTCCTCCACTCACTCCTCCACTCACTCCACCACTCACTCCACCACTCACTCCTCCACTCACTCCTCCACTCACTCACTCCACCACTCACTCCTCCAGTCACTCCACCACTCACTCCACCACTCACTCCACCACTCACTCCTCCACTTACTCCTCCACTCACTCCACCACTCACTCCACCACTCACTCCACCACTCACTCCACCACTCACTCCACCACTCACTCCTCCACTCACTCCACCACTCACTCATCCACTCACTCCACCACTCACTCCACCACTCACTCCACCACTCACTCCACCACTCACTCCACCACTCACTCCTCCACTCACTCCTCCACTCACTCCTCCACCCTCACTCCTCCACCCACTCCTCCTCCACTCACTCCTCCACTCCTCCACTCCTCCACTCACTCCACCACTCCCACTCCACCACTCACTCCTCCACTCACTCCACCACTCACTCCACCACTCACTCATCCACTCACTCCACCACTCACTCCACCACTCCTCCACTCACTCCACCACTCACTCCTCCACTCACTCCTCCACTCACTCCACCACTCACTCCACCACTCACTCCTCCACTCCCTCCTCCAGTCACTCCACCACTCACTCCTCCACTCCCTCCTCCAGTCACTCCTCCACTCACTCCTCCACTCACTCCACCACTCACTCATCCACTCACTCCACCACTCACTCCACCACTCACTCCTCCACTCCCTCCTCCAGTCACTCCACCACTCACTCCAGTCACTCCTCCAGTCACTCCTCCACTCACTCCTCCACTCACTCCTCCACTCACTCCTCCAGTCACTCCACCACTCACTCCACCACTCACTCCTCCACTCACTCCACCACTCACTCCTCCACTCACTCCTCCACTCACTCCCCCACTCACTCCTCTACTCACTCCACCACTCACTCCTCAACTCACTCATCCACTCACTCCACCACTCACTCCACCACTCCTCCACTCACTTCACCACTCACTCCTCCACTCACTCCTCCACTCACTCCACCACTCACTCCCCCACTCACTCCACAACTCACTCCTCCACTCACTCCTCCACTCACTCCTCCACTCACTCCCCCACTCACTCCACCACTCACTCCACCACTCACTCCTCCACTCACTCCTCCACTCACTCCTCCACTCACTCCACCACTCACTCCCCCACTCACTCCTCCACTCACTCCACCACTCACTCCACCACTCACTCCTCCACTCACTCCTCCACTCACTCCACCACTCACTCCACCACTCACTCCACCACTCACTCCTCCACTCACTCCTCCATTCACTCCACCACTCACTCCACCACTCCTCCACTCACTCCACCACTCACTCCACCACTCACTCCACCACTCCTCCACTCACTCCACCACTCACTTCTCCACTCACTCCACCACTCACTCCTCCACTCACTCCTCCACTCACTCCACCACTCACTCCACCACTTACTCCACCACTCACTCCTCCACTCACTCCTCCACTCACTCACTCCTCCACTCACTCCACCACTCACTCCACCAGTCACTCATCCACTCACTCCTCCACTCACTCCACCACTCACTCCTCCACTCACTCCTCCACTCACTCACTCCTCCACTCACTCCACCACTCACTCATCCACTCACTCCTCCCCTCACTCCTCCACTCACTCCTCCACTCACTCACTCCTCCACTCACTCCACCACTCACTCCTCCACACACTCCTCCACTCACTCCTCCACTCACTCCACCACTCACTCCACCACTCACTCATCCACTCACTCCTCCACTAACTCCTCCACTCACTCCCCCACTCACTCCTCCACTCACTCACTCCTCCACTCACTCCACCACTCACTCATCCACTCACTCCTCCACTCACTCCTCCACTCACTCCCCCACTCACTCACTCCTCCACCCACTCCTCCACCCACTCCACCACTCACTCCTCCACTCACTCCTCCACTCACTCCCCCACTCACTCCTCCAGTCACTCCTCCACTCACTCCTCCACTCACTCCTCCACTCACTCCACCACTCACTCCTCCACTCACTCATTCCCCCACTCACTCCTCCACTCACTCCCCCACTCACTCCACCACTCACTCCTCCAGTCACTCCTCCACTCACTCCTCCACTCACTCATCCACTCACTCCACCACTCACTCCACCACTCACTCCTCCACTCACTCACTCACTCCTCCACTCACTCACTCCACCACTCACTCCTCCACTCACTCACTCCTCCAGTCACTCCTCCACTCACTCCTCCAGTCACTCCTCCACTCACTCCTCCACTCACTCCACCACTCACTCATCGACTCACTCCACCATTCACTCCACCACTCACTCCTCCACTCACTCCACCACTCACTCCTCCACTCACTCACTCGACTCACTTCTCCACTCACTTCTCCACTCACTCCTCCACTCACTCCTCCACTCACTCACTCCTCCACTCACTCCACCACTCACTCCTCTACTCACTCCTCCACTCACCCCACTACTCACTCCACCACTCACTCCACCACTCACTCCTCCACTCACTCCTCCACTCACTCCACCATATACTCACTCCTTCATCCATTCACTCCTTCATATGCTCATTACACCATCCCCAGACTCATTCCTCCAATCACTCACTCCTCCAGTCATTCACTCCTCCATACGCACACTCCTACATCTCACTCGTTCCCCTGTGCACTCACTCATACATCCACCCAGGCAGGTATGGGCGAGGGCGGCGCGGCGTCATCCGGCCCGGAGTAACGCGCCGCGACCCCCACGAGCCACGCGGGCGAGCGCCCCGGATCACGGCACCACGCGCCGAGGAGGAGAAGACGCGCGCATACTTCAGAACACACGCGCACACACACACACACAGCTGCACTATCGCACACACACACGCGCATACTGCAGAACACACTTACACGCAGACACACACACACAGATGCACTATCGCACACACACACGCGCATACTGCAGAACACACGCGCACACACACACACACAGCTGCACTATCGCACACACACACGCGCATACTGCAGAACACACTTACACGCAGACACACACACACAGATGCACTATCGCACACACACACGCGCATACTGCAGAATACACTTACACGCAGACACACACACAGCTGCACTATCGCACACACACACGCGCATACTGCAGAACACACACGCAGACACACACACACAGCTGCACTATCGCACACACACACGCGCATACTCCAGAACACACTTACACGCAGACACACACACAGCTACACTATCGCACACACACACGCGCATACTACAGAACACACTTACACGCAGACACACACACACAGCTGCACTATCGCACACACACACGCGCATACTGCAGAACACACTTACACGCACACACACACACAGCTGCACTATCGCACACACACACGCGCATACTGCAAAACACACTTACACGCAGACACACACACAGCTGCATGATCGCACACACACACACGCGCATACTGCAGAACACACTTACACGCAGACACACACACACAGCTGCATGATCGCACACACACACGCGCATACTGCAGAACACACTTACACGCAGACACACAAACACAGCTGCATGATCGCACGCACACACGCGCATACTGCAGAACACACTTACACGCAGACACACACATACACACACACATACATACAGCTGCACTATCGCACACACACACGCGCATACTGCAGAACACACTTACACGCAGACACACACACACAGCTGCACTATCGCACACACACTCGCGCATACTGCCACATGCAAACACACCATGCACTGCTGAACCCAAACAACAAAAAACGAAAACAAAGATCCCCCGTATAGCCTTAACAGACGTTTGAGGCAAGTGCTGTTAGCGAGCACCTATGAAGGCCGGTACGGCACACGAGGGGGGCGGGTGGCCAGCAACCATGCCCGGCCGTCTTTGTCTCTCTAGTAGCGATGTTTACACGCCGCACCAGGTACTTAAGTGAGGCTGAGTCGACCTAGAGGAGACCCAAGACCGGGTCAGATAATCGTCCCCGGTGTTGGCCGTGAGCGGGGAATCGAACTCGGGTGGCCGGGTTCGCAAGCGCAACGCGATAACCGCTACGCTACCGCTCCCCTCCCCGCCACACACACACAGACCTCGACACACTCACACACACAAGTACACCCCCTCACCCTCCCATCCCCCTACGCTCCACGCGAGTGTCCGGGACCAATCCCCCGGCACGCGCAGCCAAGGTCGCGGTTGTCGCTCCCCGCGCGTTTGATGCGACCCTCGGATTGCGCGACGCGGGGGCGGGCGGGCTGGCGGGGAGGGGGTTCCGTGGGTTACGGGGGGGGGGGTTTGGGGTCGGAGGGGAAGGCGACCCCCTCCGAGCGCCACTAAAACTCGCGCGCACTTAACGCGGCGCGCGATCGTCTCGAGTTTGTAAATTGCGCGACGCCTTTTTATTTTCTTTTGTCTTCGTCGTCGTCTGTCTGTCGCGTCCATCGAGAGAGGGAGGGAGGCGCACAGGTAACGTCGGCCGAGAGGTTCAGGGGTGGGAGGGGGGACGTGGGGCGGGGTGACGAGAGGAGCAAGGGGGGGAGTGACCCATGTCGGGATTTATAATCCTGCGTGTTGTTGGACACCATGTCTGACGTTTCGCCCCATGTGGCTTAAAAACTTCTTCAGGAACCGAATTCCGTTTGCTGAAGAGGAAACTGGATCGTGTTCTTTGAAGAAGCTCCCCCCACCCCCACCCGCAGCACGTGGAGCGAAACGTTGGACATCGTGCCGAACGACACGCGGTATACACCGGAAGACGCATCGGAGAGCTGCCGAGCGGCGCGACAGACAGCGGCGGAGGAGTCGGCCGTCCCCTGCGCGCCCCTCGGAGCGAGCGTCGTCTCCTGTGGAGCGGCGGCTCCGCAGAGACGCCGCGCGTGCGGACGCCTCGCTACGTCGCACGAGGGATGGCGGCCGGCTTGGGGATTCCTTCATCCAGCAGTGGCTTGATCATGGCCGCTGATGACGGTGGTGGTGGCGAACGGACAAAGTGACACGGAGACACGACACAGGGGGGGATGATGACATTTGTCCAGAGCCCAAACCAAAAATAACTTTAAAAAAATACAAAAACAGAGCCGTTGATTTATATTATCGAATGATATGGTGGATAAAAGCAATGACACCTATATTAATTGTCCTTTTGTTAGAATCTTCGTTTCAATGTCATTATAAAAAATGTCCCCATATGACGTCAGCGAAGGTTTAAAACGGTTGAGGCTTGCGTGTGGGCAAGGAGAGGGGGCGGGGAAGAGAGGGGGGCTGGGGGAAGGGGGGTGTATGGGGGGGGGGGTTGCCCTGTCTCGATGTTCCCACGAGCAGAGATACCTCAAACCCTGCCCTGACCCTTGCCGAGCCCTCCGGGGTGGGGCTCTCGGCCTGCGCGGGGCCCCGAGTGTGGGGGTCTCGAGCCGCGGCGCCGGCCCTCGGCACTCTCCACAACAGTCCACGACGTTCAACGCCGTCGGTGGGCGGTTCGGCGCAGCTGCCGCTGTGAACCCGGAGAGCCGAGTTCGATTGCCGGCCGCGTCTCGCACGCGCGGGTCGCGAGTGGAACCTGAACCCCCCGCGGGAATCGCAGTCGCCGAGCGTCACGTGTGGGCAACGCGACCCTGGTGAGCGGTACAGCAGTAGCTGGGCCGTGCGTTATCTTCCAATTTAATTTACATCATCCTCGACGGTTTTGTTCTATAGGCGTTTGGTAAACACCGAATATACTGTATGTATATATTTATTTTGTTATTGCAAATAAAACTCCATTCACATTTTGGTTGAGGTGATATTCTTCAGGATGTTGTGATATCGGTTTTCATCCAGCAGTAGAGAGGGTATAGTTATTATGTTGTCTGGCATTCGCACCACTGGAGACAAAGAGCGATCGTTGAATGAATTAAACAACAACAATCATCAACAATCATCAACAACAATCATCACTCCGCCCGATCGCGCCGTGCACCACCGCCGTGTGTATGTATAGGTACAGTATATATACACACGCACACACACGTAGTGAACTCGAGTGTGTGATGATCGCATTCGCAAGGACACTGGCGCGATGTAAAACAGACAACACGCGAGAGGTCGTGCGGCGACCATTCGTGAGCGTCACCTCGAGCTAAGTTCGTCTGAGAGCCGCAGTTTCATACAGCAGCGAAATAACGGCGCGCAAATCGAATACTACCGTGTTGCAGTTCATTTGTAATCGCGTAACTGTAATGCAATTGAACAAATAAAAACGTACTTGTAATAAATGTATCATTTTATTGTGTATATGTGTGTGAGCGTGTGTGTGTGAGCATGTATGTGTGTGTGAGCGTATGTGTGTGAGCGTGAGTGTGTGTGAGCGGGTGTGTGTGTATGTGTGTGAGCGTGTGTGTGAGCGTGTGTATGTGTGTGTATGTGTGTGTGAGCGTGTGTGTGTATGTGTGTGTGTATGTGTGTGTGTGCCCGCGCTCGAGGGGAGCGGTAGTGTAGCGGTTAGCGCAACGCTGCGCTACGAACCCAGTGACCCGAGTTCAATTCCCGCTTACGGCCAACAACACCACGTGACGATTATCTGAACCGGTCCTGGGCATCCTCCCCGAGGTCGACTCAGCCTCAAATGAGTAGCTGGTGCGGTGTGTAAAAAACATCATAACTGGGGAGACAAAGGCGGTCGGGCGTAGTGCCGGCCTTCATAGGTGCTCGCTAACAGCACTTGCCTCAGTAGTCTGTTAAGGATGTTTGTGTGTGCTGTGTGTGCTGTGTGTGTGCGTGCATGTATGCGTGTGTGTTTATGTACTGTATGTATGTGTGCTGGCGTGTCTGCACCAGGGACGCAATGAAGATGACGACGCGAATGTTCACATACAGCAGGCAGGCCTGCGACTGTCGCGCGCACGCGGCCTCATTTGCTATCCGGCGAGGTGCCCATGTCAACGACACCCCGCACCAAATGCTTGCACCCGGCACACCACGTCCAGTCGATCATCGCTCGCTACGGCTGTGGCTGCGAGTCACGAGCCAGCTACTTTAGTCGTATACCAGCGACCCGGAAAACGAATATTCAGCGAACATTTACACCTTGGTCACACACATACAAAATATAAATATCCTCCATATTGCGTGAACAAACTGTGGGGGCAGGTGCTGTTAGCGAGCACCTGCAAAGGTCGGCGAGAGAACACGAGGGGGTGGATGGACAGCACCGCGCCCGGCCACCTTTGTCTTCCTCGTGGCGATGTTTTACAAACCGCACCAGGTACTCATTTGAGGCCGAGTTGACCCAGGTGATCGTCACCGGTGTTGGTAGCGAGCGGGAATGGAACTCGGGTGGGCCGGGGTTCATAAGCGCAGGGCGCTACCGCTGCCCAACGCCATAGGCGCCGACGCGAAGTCACACAGGCGAACTTTTATACAAAAGCCACTGAGAATATGTAAATTGCGAGCGGCGTAGGGCGGCGGCGTCACTCGCTGTTGAGCAGCAAAGCGGCGTCGAGGTTTTCCCCGGCGGAGGCACCGCGACGTCGTTGCTCGCGACGTCCGATTTGCGAAATGAAACCCGAGGCTGTGGAACCTTTGGACGCGCGCGTGCCACGCGTGTACTGTGGGGGGGGGGGGGGGGGAGTGGTTGGCGCGGCGACCCGAGTTCGATCCCCACTCACGAGCGAGAACCAGGGCAAGATATCTAAACGGGTCCTGGGCGTCAGCTTGGTCGGCTCGGCCTTAAACGAGTGCCCGACTCCACGTACAAATGCGATCGCTGGGGAGACAGACGTGCTGTTTTACAACCTATCCCTCGATTGCCGTACCGGCATTCATCGCCGCTCGCTCACGGCACTTTCCCCGACAGTCTGTTGAGGGCTATACGGGGACCTTTGTCTCTGCGAGTGTACACAACAAGCGCCGCAATGCGCTGCGAGTCGCGGCGAGATCAAAGCGAGTCGACATCCTCGCTGCGACCTTGCTGAGCGCGCGATGGCGACTCGCGAGGCGCGGCGCCGCTCACGCGCAACCGCCGTACGCGTGACGCTCTCAACGCTGTCGAGTCGATGTCGTACGCTGCAAACGGCAGAGCGGAGCAATATGCGCCATACAACGAGGCGGTTCGCATGGGATAAAGTAACCCGAGGGTGAGGAGCGGTGGCACGCTGGTTAGGGCGCTGGATTATGTTCGACTCCCTGACCAGTGGCGTGTGATAACTGAACCGGTCCTGCTCCCTCCAACTTCACCCCCCCCCCCCCCAATGACCAGCGTGGTGAAGTATGGCAAACATATAAAACGCGCTTGACCGACCGAACGACCGACCGAACGGCACGACGCGGGGGAGGTGATCCAGCAGTGGATTGCCGAGTGAATTACAAAAAAAATACTTTAAAAAAACCGCACGAATGCCACTGGGCACTGCGAGCGGTGGCCTCTGTGTTGGGGTTGTGGCCTGGATGGGGTGGTGACTACCGTGCGGGTTAGTGGGGGTTGATTTGACCATACTTCACCAGCCTTGGTAGAAGTCTCGCTGGTACTGCTAGCAAGGGGTGGTGGTATCGGGCGTGAAGCTTGGCGCCGCGGGAGAGGACGCGAAAGTCGTCGAAGCGCAAACACTACCGCGACTTATTTCCACCACCACCACCACCACCATCACACGACTACAACGATAGTAACAGTACTACTACGACTAATACTACGACTAATACTACGACTAATACTACGACTAATTCTACGACTAATACTACGACTAATACTACGACTAATTCTACGACTAATACTACGACTAATACTACGACTAATACTACGACTAATTCTACGACTAATACTACGACTAATACTACGACTAATTCTACGACTAATAATACGACTAATACTACGACTAATTCTACGACTAATACTACGACTAATACTACGACTAATTCTACGACTAATACTAAGACTAATACTACGACTAATTCTACGACTAATACTACGACTAATACTACGACTAATTCTACGACTAATACTACGACTAATACTACGACTAATTCTACGACTAATACTACGACTAATACTACGACTAATTCTACGACTAATACTACGACTAATACTACGACTAATACTACGACTAATTCTACGACTAATACTACGACTAATTCTACGACTAATACTACGACTAATACTACGACTAATACTACGACTAATTCTACGACTAATACTACGACTAATTCTACGACTAATACTACGACTAATTCTACGACTAATTCTACGACTAATTCCCTCGACAACAACACGAGGTTTGAGCGA